TCGCGCCGCTCGTCGGCGCCAGGACCGTCGGCGCGCTCCAGAGCATGCTGCCCCCGGGCGTCGTCGGCCTCGTCCAGGGCGACGGCGTCCAGGGCGCGGCGCTCGTGCGGGCCGACGTCCAGATGGTCGCGATGACGGGCAGCTCCGCGACGGGAAAGAAGATCATGGCGTCGTGCGCCGACAACCTGAAGCGGCTCGTGCTCGAGCTCGGCGGCAAGGACCCCATGGTCGTCTTCGACGACGCGGACCTCGACAAGGCCGCCGAGGACGCCGTGACCTTTAGCCTCTACAACTGCGGCCAGGTCTGCTGCGCCGTCGAGCGCGTCTATGTCGCGGAAGCCATCTACGACCAGTTCGAGGCCAAGTGCGCGGCGCTGACGGCGGCGCAGCGGGCGGGCCCGGGCAAGGACGAAAAATCGAAGATCGGCCCGCTCTGCTCGTCGCTGCAGCGCGACAACGTCGCCAACCTGGTCAACGCCGCGCTCGACGCCGGCGCGCGCAAGGTCTGCTCGGCGCCCGCGGCCCAGGGCCCGAACTTCTACCCGGCGACGCTTCTCGCCGACGTGCCCCACGCCTGCGCCATGTCGCGCGACGAGCTCTTCGGCCCCGTCGTCTGCCTCACGAAGTTCGACGGCTCGGAGGCCGAGGCCGTGCGGCTCTCGAACGACACGGACTACGGCCTCGCGGCCTACGTCTACACGCAGGACCTGGTCAAGGCGCGGCGCTGCGCCATGCAGATCAAGGCGGGCCAGGTCGGCATCAACAACTGGACCGTCGCGTCCGCGCCGCCGTCCTGCCCCTGGATCGGCCACAAGGCCAGCGGTTTCGGCTACCACAGCGGCGAGGACGGCTGGCGCCAGTTCTCCTCGCCCAAGTCCCTCATCTACACCGACGCGGACCTCGTCCCGCCGGCGCCGCCGAAGGGCGCTTGAGAGGGCTCTTCTTTTTTTTTTGGTAAAGCTCGCAAGTCGCCCTGCTCGTACGCGCTCAGGACTCCCATATCAGTCCGTGCACCGGTTTGGCACAGCCCCTCGGCACTCCCTCGGCACTCCCTCGGCCTGCTGGGCCGAGTTTGAGGCCGGTGTCACCCCCCTTCTGCTCGTTGCCTGATCGGCTCGCCGAACGAGCTGCCACTCGACGCTGCGCATGCGCGCGCGGCTCCTCACCGCCAGCATGAGCGGGCTCGTCGGCGGCCTCAAGAAGCCGCAGATCCTCGCGAGCCCGCGCACGGTCGACCCGCTCTTTCGGCGCATCGAGGAGGTGCACGACGAGGCGGCCCAGCCCTTCGGGCACATCCTCGACGCCGGCACGGGCGGCCACAGCCTCAAGTGGCTCGGCACGCTGCCCAAAGACGCCGTCTCCAGCGTGACGGCCGTCACGGCCGACGCGAGCGCCGGCGAGGGCAAGGGCGCGTCCGACGCGCGCGCGGCGCTCGACTCCGCGCGCGGCGACGCGTTGGTCGAGGGCAAGTGGTGCGTGCCCGGCGCGGCGCCGCCGTTGACGGTGGCGCGCTTCGACACGGTGCTCTGCGACTACCTCGTCGGGTCCATGGATGGCTTCACGCCCTTCCTCCAGGACGCGTTCTTCGACGAGCTCCGGCCGCTCTGCGCGGAGGACGCGCTCGTCCACGTCGTCGGCCTCAACCCGGTCTACGCGACGACGGCGCCGCCGCCGACCGACGCCGCGCAGCAGATCGTCGTCGACACGGCGCGGCTCCGCGACGCCTGCATCCTCCTCGCGGCGCACCGGCCCTACCGCGAGTTCCCGCCGTCCTGGGTCATCCGCCACCTCGAGCGGTCCGGCTTCGAGGTCGTGGACCCCTGGAAGTCCTACGGCGTCGTCTGGAACAGGGCAGGAAAAGAGAGCGAAATTCCCGACTTCAAAGGCTCCTATCTCGGTCGATTTCCAGTCGTTTCGGCTGATTTTTGGACGAGCGATCATCTCTCGGAACGCTCTCGAAGCGTGGATGCTTTTTCCGGAACGCGCGCGCGCGGAACACTCACGTTGAATCTCAGGTGTGGAAGCACGCCACGGTGAAGAAGCAGCTCGACGTCGCGCGGCGCAAGCTGCCCCACTTCGCCGACGCAGCCGTCGCCGCCGCGGTCCGCGCGCAGATCGACGCGCTCGACGCCAAGGCCAAGGCGGTCCTCGGCGACAAGGGCGTCATCTACGGCTTCGACTACGTCATCTCCGCGCGTCTTAAGAAGGCTTAGCCCTAGCTAGCGTGCGCTTGCTTGCTTAAGAAGGGACTACCAGAAATGCTTCGCCGGCCGCAGGGGCGGGATGGGCCGCGCGGAGATGCCCTCGCCGAGGTCCTTCCGCGACCCGGACCGCCAGTGCGGGACGCAGCCGCGGTCGTCCGCGTCCGCCGTTCGGTGGTCCGACGCGTTCCCCGCGGGGCCGCAGGAGAGGATCGTGCCCGACGGCAGGGGCCGGAGGTCGTCGCCGGCCAGGCCCGCCGCGAGGAGCGCGGACCCCAGGAGACACTCCGGGAAAAGCCGCGTCGCCGGCCCCGGGTAGCACTCCGCCTGGCCGGGGGTCGTGTTGCCGCGGAAGACGCGCGGGCACGAGTCCGTCGCCGCGCAGCCGCCGGCCGCGAGGACGGCGTCCGCGACGCCGAAGACCGCGGCGGCGCGCTCGCGCGCGGCGACGATGAAGCGGTCGCCGACGCAGAGGCAGCCGCACCGGGACCGCGCGTGCGAGCACGGCGCCTGCCACGCGGTGCCGTCGAGGAAGACGGCGCGCGGCGCCGCGGCCCAGGCGTCGATGGGCGGCAGGGGCCGCGCGTGGACCATGTCGCCGCGGATCTTGAGGACCCAGGCGTAGCGCGCGCCCGCGGCTCGCTCGCGCGCGACGACCCGCGCCCACGCGACGCCGAAGGCGAAGAACTGGGCCCGGTGCGGGAGGCAGTTGCGTAGCGACACGTTGTTCGCCGACGCGTCGGCCGTCGCGGAGCAGTTCCGCTCGAGGCGCTTGAAGCGGTCCTCGTCGGCGAAGAGCACTGTCGCGCGGCGCGCGGCGCCCGCGATCGCGCGCAGCGTCGCGGGGACGATGACGGCCGCGCGCGCCTCGGACTCCGACACGCTCCAGAAGAGGTCCGGCCGGAGCGGCTCGAGGATCGTCTCGCGCCAATTCGCGACGACGGCGCCGTCGATGCCCGTGCGCAGGTAGCCGCTCAGGATGACGGCGCTCGGCGTGCGCGGCGCCGCGACGTCCGACGCGGCGCGCTCGTTGAAGGCCGCGACCGCCGCCGCGACGGCGTCGCGCGGCTCCAGGTCCGCGACGGCGCAGCCGAGCGCCCACAGGAGCAGGCGCATCCCGCGCGCATCCCCTAGGCGAGGGCAGCCATCGTAATTAGAGCGCACAGGAGCAGGCGCATCCCGCGCGCGAACCCATGTCGCCCTTGCTGTAATTCGGTGCAATAACCGCAAGTTTACCCTCATCAGCGCCTCGACCAGAAGCTGCCCCTCGAGACGGAGCATCTGAGAGCCACTGAACGTCGTCGGGGAACCGCGGTATGGCGAGCTTCGCGACGGAGAAGGGCGGCGGGCAGGCCTTCGCGCGTCGCCCCGCGCCTCGGCCCGCTTTCCCCCGCAGATCATCGCGTCGTACCGTGGTCCCGTAGGCCGGCGGCTTCGCGCGGCGCGGGCTGCGGGAGCGCTTCGACGAGTACAGCGCCTTCGGCGGGACGAACGCGGGCCAGGGCCTGACGAACAAGAACTTCGCGAAGCTCGCCAAGGACTGCGCGCTCCTCGACAAGCGCCTCACGCTGACGACCCTGGACCTCATCTTCGCCAAGTGCATCGACCGCGGCGCGAAGAAGCTCCAGTGGCCCCAGTTCCTCGAGGCCCTCAAGCAGTGCGCGTCGACGAAGCGCGTCGCCGTGGAGAAGGTCCACGAGGTCGTCGCCGGCTCCGAGGGCCCGCGGCTCACGGCGACGACGGCCGCGGCGCAGACGCGGCTCCACGACGACCGGACGACGTACACGGGCGTGCACGTCGCCGGCGGGCCGACGATCATCGACAACAAGCTCACGCTCGACTCCCTCGCGGACCGCTCCGAGGCCGACGTCCGCGGCGTCAAGAAGAACGTCGACTACGCGAACGCGAACCTCGGGGCAGGACAAGAGAGCGAAATGCCCAACTTCAAAGGCTCCGATCTCGGCCGTTTTCCACTCGTTTCGGCTGATTTTTGGACGAGCGATCATCTCTCGGAACGGTCTCGAAGCATGGATGCTTTTTTTCGGGACGCGCGCGCGCGGAACATTCATGTTGAAGAGAACTTGAATCACCCTTTTCCTGCCCAGGCGGGCCTCGGCGCGCACCCGGGCCTCAGCCCGGAGCCGCGCCCGAAGAGCCGCGGCTCCGCGACCTACGGCACGCCGACGACGGCGTCGCCGAGCGCGAGCGCGACGGCGTCCGGCGGCCGCCCGACGCCCGCGTCGGCCGCGGCGAAGCGCGCGCCGCCCGTCCAGGTCGCCGCGCCCGGCGGCCCCGCGCCGCCGAACTACTTCGACCTCCTCACGCGCTACTTCATGAAGCACAACCCCTCCAAGGCGTCGAACGTCGGCGTCCTCCTCACGCAGTACGCGGGCCACGAGCAGGAGCTCTTCGACAAGATGGAGGCCAAGTACGGCGACCCCGTCGTCCCGCGCGCGGGCCGCAACGCGGGCCACGGCGCCGCCGCGCCGCCCAAGGGCAACATCTACGACAAGCTCTGCGACACGTCGCTCTACACGGGCGCCCACAAGCAGCGCTTCGACGAGACGGGCCAGGGCCGCGGCCTGGCGGGCCGCGACTTCACGGCCAAGGGCGGCATCGCCGGCAGGAGCACGACGCACCACGGCTTCCAGGGCGACACGAACACCAAGACCGACACCGTCTTCCACGACGCGTCCCAGTTCCTCATGCGCTAGGGGCCCCGACGACCGCGACGCCCCCTCCCCCCCTCCTAAGTCCCCTAGGCCGCCTTGGCCTTGGGCGCGCGGCCCGTCGAGAGGAGCAGGCCGGCGAGCGCGAGGGCCGCCTGCGCGCCCACGATGGCCACGAAGGGCACGAGCTTCGCCGAGCTCGCCGGGTCGACGTTGGGCTCCGCGGGGACCTACCAAGCATGACGGTGACGATTTCTCGCTGTTTTCCCACCCCAAATTCCTCGAAAGTCGTCACGGCCGGAGGACGCTGGCCGCGACGCCCGGGAGCAGGTTCGCGTTCTGCGCGTTCGCGAGGCACACGCTCGCGGCCCAGCCGAAGTGCATGAGGTGGACGACGGCGACCTACCAAGCACGTCGGTGACGATCTTTCATCGTGTTCCCGGTTAAAATCTCTCGAAAATCGTCGCGGCCGCAGGACGCTGACGGCGACGTCCTTCGTGCCCTTGGCGAGGAACAGCAGCGAGTACAACCCGCCGAGGCCCATGCCGAGCGCGAAGCAGTTCTCCGCGCGCGCCTTGGAGACGACGAGCGCGTACCAGCCCGGCTCCGCGTCGCCGCCCGCGACGACGGCCGCGCCGATCTCGACGCATTTCGCGCGGGACACGCCGACGAACGAGTACGAGAGGCACGAGTCGACGATGCCGCCCTCGGCCTGCTGGAGCCCGAGGAACGCCACCGTCGAGAGGAGGAGCGAGAGCGTCGAGATCGGCGTCGCGAGGGGCTTCAGCGCGCCTCGGACGAACGCGCAGCAGGCGAGCGCGGCGACGGCGAACGCCGCGTACGGCGCGGCCGGCGGCTTGCCGCGCGTCTGCGCCTCGAGCCAGGGCCAGAGCCCGGCGTCGTGGAAGGCGAACTCGAAGGCCGCGTGGCCCGCGATGTAGTTCTCCGGCTTCGCGCCCCTCGGGTAGCGCGTGTACTCGACCCGGTCGTTGCCCGCGGCGCGGAACGCGGCGACGACGGCGTCGGAGTCGTCCTGGGCGCGGCCCGGCGGCGGCGTCGCGTCGTCCTCCTCGGCGTGGAAGACCCAGAGCGGCGTGCGCGCGAGGGGCCCGACGACGGCGTCGGGCGCGGCCGTCGCGTCGTCCTCGTCGAGGTAGCCGCACGCGGCGACGACGGCCGAGAAGCGGCCCGGCGCCATCCGCGACGCGTACACATACGCGCCGTGGCCGCCCATGCTCTGCCCGGCGACGGCCACGCGGTCCGGGTCGCCGCCGAGCGTCGCCAGGGCCATGTCCACCAGCGCCATCGACGACTCGAAGTGGTGCCGCCAGTCGCGGCGCCGCGCGACGGGCACGACGACGATGTGGGCCACGCCCGCCGCGTAGGCGGGGTCGAGGAGCGGGAACCTACCGAGCTCGACGATTTCCACCCCGAATCTCTCGAAAGTCGTCGCGGCCGCAGGACGCTGGCGGGAACTGCGTCCGCAGGCCCGGGTCCCGGCAGCCCTTGCCGTTGTTGATGCCGCCGACGCCGTGGAGGAAGAGGAGCACGGGGTGGGCGGCGTCCTCGCCGGTCCAGGTCGGGGGCAGGAAGATGAGGTACTCGGACCCGTCCGCGGCGGTCAAGGGCTGGGACACGCTGCCGACGACCATGCCCTCCGGCGGCGCGGCGGCGCGCGCGGCGGCGACGACCATGGCGAGAAGGACGCGCAGGACCATCCTTTTAGGAAGCTGCCTGAGGAAGCCACCAAGATTGGAGGCCCGTTGGCGCTGACGTTGAAGGACGCGTCTCGGCGAGGCGCTGCCCACGGCGAGCGCTGCCGCTAGCGCTGCCACGACATGGAGGAGCCCGCCTTAGATGGCCGCGCGCGCGCACGACATGGAGGAGCCCGCCTTATTCGTCCATCAGAGGAGCTTCTTCGAGCGGAAGAAGGAGCGGAGGTAGATA